AAAGGTTAGCCGGGCGTGGTGGTACCTGCCTGTAGTCCCAGCTACACGGGAGGCTGAGTGGGAGGATTATTTGAGCCCAGAAGTTCAAGGTTGTAGTGAGCTAGAATTGTACCACTGTACTCCATCCTGGGCGACAGAACAATACCCTATCTCTTAAAAAAGCAACCAAACAAAGTGGATTCTGGGCCAGAAAGCACAGGTTAAAATTCCCACTCTGCTACTTCCCAGTTGCATGACCTAGCGCAAGTGAATTAGCTTCTCGGAGCCTTAGTTCCTCTGATAAAATGGGAGAAATAATGGCACCGACATCATAGAGTTGTTGTGAAAATTAAACGAGGTTAAAGTGAATAAAGCACTTCAAACAGGCTGGTAGGGGAGTCTAAGAGAGGAATGGGAAGAAGTGGGGACCCCACTATCCTTAGCACCTCAACACAGAGATATCGTGAACCCGGTCCTAATTCCCTTTTATAAGTGGTAGCAATTTTATTATTATTCACCATATAATTCAACATAGCAGTTGCACCTTAAGTATCAGGTTAATAGAACCATCCACTAATGGATTCATTCATTCATTAAGTAACTCTATTTAACTGCCTGCTATGTGTGGCGGAGGTGCAGAACTCTCCCTGCCTCACTCTCCAAAGGCAAGAGCTCCATCACACCCCAGCCCTGACCCCGTCCGATTCACACTTGGCTCCCCATTTTCCTTTGTGGTCTTAGGGAAAGGCTGCCATGAAGTTGGAGCACGGAGGGCAATGTCACATCGCAAGTTCCTAGAGGACAGTAGGTACCCAGTGAGCAGTATGAAACAAGCACATAATGCGTGTCTAGGACATAGTAGGCATTCTTGGCACACAGTAAGGCCTCAGCACTCACTGGACAACTGGCACGTAAGTGGGTGCCACGCACAAGACGTTGGCTAACTTGGGAAGGAACTAAAATTCCTACAATAGGTTCGCCCCCTGCCGGAGGGCATCTTGCAGACCCAATTCTTCCGCAAAACAAACAGCCTGTTCCCGCCGGCCGGCGCAGGCACACTCACGATTGCGGGCAGGTCCGCCGAGCGCAGCTCCCCCTTGCGGAGCTCCAGGGCGCGTGCGGCTTCTTCTGGACATGCGCAGAACCACTCTATGTCCAGCTGAGGGAGTGCACTGTAGCCCTCGCGCGCATGCTCGTACAGGAGGTTCCGGTTTCGTTTCTCTGTAGCGAAACTTCTCCTTGGACTGCCGTTGGAGATCCAGCCTCCATGGGGCCGGAGCCCCCGACGAGTCAGCAAAGGCCACAAGCGCCGCGACATGGACGCAGCCATTTTGGACCAGGGACAAGGCGGCACTTCGTCCCACCCACTCTGCGTTTAGACCAATTGCAAAGCAGCGATCCTGATCGCGACGAGCCAATCAGATCCTGAGGAAGGTCGACCGAGATAGAGTCGGTCGTCACCCAATCGTCGTCTGTGTCCCGCCTCCTCAGTGACGCGAAGGCAGAACCAGCCAATCCCTGCACGGATAGCGCCCGGAAGAGGCTGGAGGCAGGAGTCATCGTGTCCGCGACCTCACTGCTAGGGCCCGTGAGGTCGGTGGAATCCTGGGGTCTTCCAAATCTACCAGGCCCTCTCCCCAGTTTCCCACTTCTTCCTGTGTGCGGGCGAGAGTGGTTGGGTCCTCGGGAGCCCATTCAGAGCGAGGCTAAATTTACGGAGGCACTTTCTATTAGCAGCATGAGGGCCTTTGGTTAGACCTATAGAGTTGTTTCCTTTGATTTAACCCAGAAGGTCCTGAGAGCGGATCGGCCAGCATTTGCAGATCGGCCACTTTTCCCTCCTTTCTGAATCTTTTATCCCTACCACAGGGACGGCCCAGGCGGCAGGATGTCCTGGTCTGGCCTTCTCCGTGGCCTCAACACGTCCCTAACTTGTGGTAAGTGGGGGACTCGGGCTTCAGGGACGAGGGTAGAGGAGGAGGGTTATTCGCTCTGGGACTTGTGTGCTTCCGTCGGAGCCCCGAGGGAAACGGGGGTGGAAAAACACGGTGGGGTTTTGGCGGAGCTCGGGCTGCTAGAGCAAGAGGTGGGAAGCAGCTGCATGGAGGGCTACTGCGTGTCAAGCGGAGTTTCGGTCAGTTTTATTATTTATTTATTTAAGATCTCCCTCTGTCGCCCAGGCTAGAGTGCAGCGGTGTGATCACAGCTCACTGCAGTCTTGACCTCCTGGGCTCAAGTGGTCCTCTTGCCTCAGTCCCCCAAGTAGCTGGGACCACAGGCCTGCAGAACCACAACCAGCTAACTTTTTGATTTTTTGTAGAGACGGAGGTCTCCCTGTGTCGCCCAGTCTGGCCTTAACTCCTGAGCTCAAGTGATCCCTCCACAACCTCCCAAAGTGCTAGGATTACATGCATGAGTCACTGAGCCTATTATTTTAAACAGCACTAAAAGTAATGCTTCCTGGTCAGGCGTGGTGGCTCACGCCTGTAATCCCACCACTTTGGGAGGCCGAGGTCAGGAGTTCGAGGCCAGCCTGACCAACATGGTGAAACCCCCGTCTCTATTAAAAACACAAAAATTAGCCGAGCGTGGTGGCGGGTGCCTATAGTCCCAGCTACTCGGGAGGCTGAGACAGGAGAATTGCTTGAACCCAGGAGGCAGAGGTTACAGTGAGCTGAGATTGAGTCACTGATCTCCAGCCTGGGCAACAGAGCGAGACTTCGTTTCAAAAAAACAACAAAAAAGGAATGCTTCCTTGAATAATAAAGAAGTTTTGTCTGTAAATAACACTAGACGTGAACAAATGCATCCTTGTAAAGTGCTTGAAACAATGCCTAAGACACCAAAATTGAGTTGATACTACACTAAAATCTGTTCTCTGCCATAACCGCTTTCGGCCCTCTCCAGGCCCAGCTCTGGTTCCCCGGCTCTGGGCCACCTGCGCCATGGCTACCCTGAACCAGATGCACCGCCTGGGGCCTCCCAAGCGGCCGCCTCGGAAGCTGGGCCCCACGGAAGGCCGGCCGCAGCTAAAGGGTGTGGTCCTGTCCACCTTCACCCGCAAACCCAAGAAGCCTAACTCGGCCAATCGCAAGTGTTGTCGAGTACGACTCAGCACGGGCCGCGAGGCCGTCTGCTTCATCCCCGGGGAGGGTCACAATCTGCAGGAGCACCACATTGTCCTTGTGGAGGGCGGCCGCACCCAGGACCTGCCGGGCGTCAAGCTCAAGGTTGTGCGTGGCAAGTACGACTGTGGCCACGTGCAGAAGAAGAAGTGACGGCTGGGGCCATGGTGGACTGGGCACCCCTGCAGAACATGAACCTTCCGCTCCTGGCTACCACAGGGTCCTCTGATGCTGGCCTTTGCGCCTCTAGAGGCAGCCCCTCATGGATTCAAGTTCTGGCTCCGCCTCTTCCATCAGGACCACTGTTAAGCCATAGGAGTTGTGGGGGTACAAAGGGTGCCCCTCTGTCAACACCCTTGGCTCCTGTGTTTAGAGGGGTGGGATGAAGGACCTTTTCTGCTGGGACAAGACACTGTACTGCCCTCTGCTGGGAAGGGGTTTTAATAAACATCCTGGCCCTTGCAATGTGAACCCTTGTGGAGTATTTGCCCTCCTTGTGGCTGTGGCAACGGACATCTCTGAGTTTCAGTTTCCTCCTCCAGAAAATAATAGCTCCATTGGTGGTATCTCCTTTATTTGGCTTGTTGAAGATTAAATTTGCTGCTCTATGTGCATAACACGCATGGAGGGCTACTGTTTATTTTATTTTTTTTAGACAAAGTCTTGCTCTATTGCCCAGACTGGAGTGCAGTGGCATGGTCTCAGCTCACTGCAACCTCTGCCCTCCGGGTTCAAGTGATTCTCCTGCCTCAGCCTCCCGAGTAGCTGGGATTACAGGTGCCCGTCACCATGCCTGGCTAATTTTTGTATTTTTAGTAGAGACAGGGTTTCAACCATGTTGGCCAGGCTGGTCTCAAACTCCTGACCTCAGTTGATCTGCCCACCTTGGCCTCCCAAAGTGCTGGGATTACAGGCATGAGCCACCACGCCCGGCAGAGGGCTACCCTATTTTAAGCTTAGGAGTCAGGTAGGTGGCACGGGGGGCCCAGGTCTCCTTCCCGCAGGTCATGGGTTCTGGGCACATAAACTCTGCCCTCAAACATGGACATCTGGAAAATGGCAGTGATTGTAATGTTGATGTGGAAGGGGTGTGGAAAGGATTCAATGGGATGTGCTGCTCCACACCTGGGAGCTGTTCTTTTATATGTGTGTGTGTGTGTATATATATAGAGAGAGAGAGACAGAGTCTCACTCTTGTCCAGGCTGGAGTATAGTGGTATCATCAAAGCTTACTTCAGCCTTGACCTCCTGGGCTCAATGATCCTCCCGCCTCAGCCTCCTGAGTAGCCGGGACCACAGGTGTGTGCCACCAGAGCTGGCTAATTTTTCTGTTTTTTTAGAGTGGGAATCTGGCTTTGTTGCCTGGCGAACATGGTGAAACCCTGTCTTCTACTAAAAATATAAAAATTACCTGGGCGTGGTGGCATGTGCCGGTAATCCCAGCTACTCAGGAGGCTGAGGCAGGAGACTCACTTGAACCTGGGAGGTGGAGGTTGCAGTGAGCCAAGATCAGCACCACTGCACTGCAGCCTGGGTGACAGAGTGAGACCCTGTCTCAACAAAAGAAAAAAAGATGTGGGAACTGTGTTCATACCATTGGGCTCTGGAGCCCAGCACTGCTCCAAGCCCTGCCTCCCCTGCTTACTGACTGGGTGACTTTGGGCAGGTCGTTTACACTTTGAGCAGCCTGCACCAAATGGCGCTGATAAGGGTGCATGCCTGAGAGGTGTTAGGCGCATCATAGCTGTCTCATCATAGCTGTCTCTGAGTTCCTCATGGCGCTCAACACAGCCTCCTGAGGGTCTCCTGATTGTAAACATGAGGCCTCAAGGTCTTTTAGGATCAGAACTGGTGGCAGACAAGTGCACTGATTACAGATAAAAATTACCCATCCCCTCATATTTAGCACCAGTTTTATTGAGCTAGTTTGTTGGCCATGCCTAGCTGAGAGATAGAGAAGTGGAGGGAGATGGGGGGACAGGAGAGCTTTTCCTCATGGCACACCTTGCTCCAGGAGTCTGTATACAGGAGTGTGGACAAAAGGAAGTGTTACTTTGCAGGAAGTTGCCCCCAAAGCAAGGGCAGGAGGTGGGGGTGGGGAACTTGGCCTCTGATGGAATTCTGGAATTCTGATGAGAGGCACCAGCCTGGCCAGAACAGGAGATGCTGACGGGCAGTGCTGGGCATGTTGCACAGAGATGGCTGGTTACACAGCCCCATGGCGGGATCCCAGAGTGCCGAGACCAGCTGGGTCGTGGAGATCCTAACCGAGGGGCGCTAGAGGAATTAAAGACACACACAGAAATATAGGGTGTGTGGTGGGAAATCAGGGGGTCTCACAGCTTTCAGAGCTGAGAGCCTCGAACAGAGATTTACCTACATGTTTATTAACAGCAAGCCAGTGATAAGCATTGTTTCTATAGATTATAGATTAACTAAAAGCATTTCTTACAGGAAATAAAGGGATGGGCTCTGGCTAGTTATCTGCAGCTGGAGCATGTCCTTAAGGCACAGATCGCTCATGCTATTTGTGGTTCAGGAACCCCTTTAAGCGGTTTTCCCCCTGGGGTGGGCCAGGTGTTCCTTGCCCTCATTCTGGTAAACCCACAACTTTCAGTGTTGGGGTCATGGCCATCATGAACCTGTCACAGTGCTGCAGAGATTCTGTTTATGACCAGATCTGGGAGACTGTTCCCAGCACCAGAGATTCCCCAAGCAGCAGATGATCCTGTTGGTCTCAAGGACAGACTGCCTCAGCGGACCTCTGCTCCCTGCCAGTGACCATTACCCCCAAAACATGCCGGCAAGTCTGTGCTCCCTGCGTCGGCGGCCTTCCCCCTCGTATAAAGCCTGGGTTAGCCTTTGTTTTGTGACTGAGTCTACTGAGATCCTTGCAGGAGAAGACAGTTTGCAGGCAAATGAACTAAATGTCTCTTTCATGACACCCCCCTCCTGGGGGGCTGAGGAAGCTGTGAACAGCCTGGTTTGTCACACAGCATGTTGGCCACCATGCTGAAGCAGCAGCAAGCGGGTTCATGGAAGGTGTACTGAGAACCAGCCACATAGGACCCCCTACTGTCCCTGGGTATCCTCTGGCTTCTGGCTGCAAGGCTGGTCTTTTTTTTTTTTTTTTTTTTCTTTGATATAGGGTCTTGCTTTATCGCCCAGGCTGGAGTGCAGTGGTGAAATCACGGCTCACTGCAGCCTCAACCTCCTGGACTCAGGCAATCCACCCAAGCCTCCCAAGTAGCTGGGACTACAGGCGGCACCACCATGCCTGGCGAATTTTGTAAAAATTATTTGTGGAGACAGGGTCTCACTATGTTGCCCAGGCTGGTCTTGAACTCCTGAGCTCCAGTGATCCTCCCACCTTGGCCTCTTGAAGTGCTGGGATTCCACAGGTGTGAGCCACCGCACCTGGCTGCAAGGCTGGTCTTGACTGACGACGTCAGGCGGTAGTCCAGTCGCTAGGACAGACGGATCCTGACCCTCACGCTGGAGTGGGTCACAAGGGCACCGTAGTGCCCCACCCAGGAACTCACGTCTCTCCCGTACTGCTCAAAAGAGACGTAGCGGATGCCCTTGCCAAAGTTGGTGAAGACATGGGAGACCTGCAGGGGGAAGGGGAGTGAGAGGGTGAGGGCCTGCGGGCCCCTTCTCTTCCTCCACCTTAACTGATAGGCCCCAAGGGCTGAGGAGGTGCCAGTCCTGCACTAGGTGCTGGGGATGGAGCAGCGAAGAAAGCAGGAAAAGGACCCCGCCCTGCTGGAACTGCCATTCTAGCAGGGGGCCTGGACACTGGAGATAGGTGGGGGTGAGGGGCCGGGGCATCCTGCCTGGAAGGTGGCAGGAATGTGAGTAGAGTGAGTTAGCAAAGGCCCCACAGAGGTGACACCTGAAGGAGGGGAGGGAGCCAGGAGGGGCTCTGGAGGGAGAGTGTCCCAGGCAGCAGGAACGGCCCGTGCAAAGGTCCCGAGGTGGGAACATGCCGGGAGCTGCGCGGAGGGAGAAGAGAGGGGTCAGGGAGGTCATGGGCAGATCACGTCGGGGCCACAGGAGGACTTTGGTTTTTTTTTTTTTTTTTTTTCAATTTAAAAAAGTTGAGATAAAATTTTCATAAAACAAACTTTTCCTTTATTTATTTATTTTTGAGATGGAGTCTCACTCTGTCACCCAGGCTGGAGTACAGTGGCACGATCTCGGCTCAATGCAACCTCCGCCTTGCAGGTTCAAGCGATTCTCCTGCCTCAGCCTCCCGAGTAGCTGGGATTACAGGCACGCACCACCACGCCCAGCTAATTTTTGTATTTTTAGTAGAGATGGGGTTTCTCCATGTTGGTCAGGCTGGTCTTGAACTCCTGACCTCAGGTGATCCACCCGCCTTGGTCTCCCAAAGTGCTGGGATTACAGGTGTGAGTCACTGTGTCCGGCCAAAATTTACCATTTTATTTTAATTATTTATTTTGAGGCCAAGACTTGCTCCATTGCCCAGGCTGGAGTGCAGTGGCATGATCTCAGCTCACTGCAACCTCCACCTCCCCCAGTTCAAGAGATTCTCCTGCCTCAGTCTCCCCAAAAGCTGGGATTACAGGCGCTCACCACCATGCCTGGCTAATTTGTATATTTCTAGTACAGACAGGGTTTCACCACGTGGGCCAGGCTGGTCTTGAACTCCTGGCCTCAAGTGACCCACCTGCCTTGGCTTCCCAAAGTGCTGGGATTACAGGCATGAGCCACCACACCTGGCCCCAAATTCACTTTTTAAAGTGTACAATTCAGTGGTTTTTAGCTGATTCGCGATGTTATGTGGCCATCACCACTACCTAATTCTAGAGCATTCCCGTCACCCCAGGAAGAAACTCTGCATCTGTGAGCTGTCACTTCTAAGTCCTCCCTCCCTCAACCCCTGGCAGTCACCAGTCTTCTTAGTGTACATTTCATATATGTGGAATCATACGGTATTTGTCATTTCACATCTGGCTTCTTTCAGCATCGTGTTTTCAAAGTGTATCCACGTTGCAGCGTGAATTGGTGCTTCATTTCTTTTCCGTGGCTGCATAACTTTGGCTTGTACTGTGAGATGCAGCCACAGGAGCATTACAGGCAGGGAGACGTGGGATCTGACTCATCATTATGATGATGATTATTTTTAGTTAGGGTCTCTGTCTGTTGCCCTGGCTGGACTGCAGTGGCAAGATCATAGCTCACTGCAGCCTCGACCAACTGGGCTCCAACCATCCTCCCACCTCAGCTTCCTGAGTAGCTGAGACTACAAGCTCAAGTCACCATGCTGGTCTAACTTTTAATTTCTTTGTAGAGATGGGGGTCTCGCTCTATGGCCCAGGCTGGCCTCAAACTCCTGCCCTCAAGCTGTCCTCCCATGTTGGCCTCCCAAAGTGGTGGGATTACAGGTATGAGCCACCGTGCCCAGCCGAAACATTTACTTTGGTAACTGAGGTGTGAGGATCAAGACAGCATAGTCTTGGGGCCAGACCGGGCTTGAGTCCAGCTCTGCACCGGGCCAGTCACATAACCTCCCTGTGCCTCTGTTTCCTAAACTCTAGAATGGAGATAGGATTTTGCTTCACCGCTGCATTTCCAGCACCTGGAGTGGTGCCCAGCACACAGTAGGTGCTCACTCAGTGTTTGTTGAACATTAAGCTGTTGTGCTAATGAATCAACATGTAAGCCTCTTGACCCAGGGCTTGGGATGTAAGAAGGGTTCAATACTTCTTAGCTGTTATTATAGATATCCAGCGGTGACAGAAGAGAAACCACGCGGACGAGAGGCTGGGTGTGTGTGCCTCTAGGGGGTCGGGGGGAGCTGGAAGGTAGTCTGGACCCACCTGTCGGCAGCCCCTCTCAGTCCACTGAAGGACCGGGTCAGGTGAGGCTGAGAACTTGACCACTTCCTTTTCATACACGTCCAGAAGGCGGACCCGGAGCTGGTAGACGCAGCCGCAGTTCTCTCGAGCACCCCACCTGCCAGGCAGCAGTCAGCCTCTGTGTCCCCGTCACCCAGCCAGCGTTCTGGGTTTCAGGGTGGGAGGCTGAGGGCTGGGCCTTCCCACATCTTGATGAGGGTTCTGCACATCTGGACCACATTTGGAGACGTCCTGGCCTGGGAACCTCTAGGGGAGGAGCCTTGGTGGTTCTGGGGTAGAGCCAGAACCTGGGGGAAGAGCTCGGGTGATCTGAGGGTGGAGCCAGAGCCTGGGGGAGGGGTCTGGGTGGTCCTGGGGTGAAGCCAGAACCTAGAGGAGGAGGCTGAGCCTGGGGGAGGGGCCTGAGTGGTCCTAGATGGAGCCAGAGCAGGGGAGGAGCCTGGGTAGTCCTGCGGGAGGAGACTGAGTGGTCCTGGGGTGGAGCTAGAGCCTAGGGAGGAGCCTGTGTGGTCCTGGGGGAGGAGTCTGGGTGTCCTGGGGTTGATTCTGGAGGCTTTTGGGTGGGTAGTTGGGGGACAGGAAAGGATGCTCTGGGGAAGAACCACAATGCAGGGCAGGTGCCTGATGACTTCAGGGAGAAGCCAGAGCCCCAGGGAAGAGACCAGATTTTCTATGGAGGAGCCACAGCCTGAAGGAGGAGCTGGAATGCTTTGGGCAGAACCTGGATGTTTTGGGAAGAAGGCATTCATCCTAAGCCTGCAGGCTCTGAAGCCAGTCCTGTCCCAGCTATGCTCCCTGAGCCTCAGCTCACAGGGCACCATGCTCCCACCCCTTCAGAGGCATCCACAAGGGGGTCGGGGGAGGTGTCTCGTTTCAGAGGGGTATCAAGCCAGTCAGTGGCCCCCTGTGGACCACCCCAGCCTGCTGAGATGAGGGTGGGCAGGAGTACAGAGCGGGGCCTCTGGCTTCTCCAAAGCTCTATCCTCCCCGGCTCTGCATCACTTCACCTCTCAGTGTCATCACAAAGGGTGCACAGTGACAGCCGCTACCCATGGGGTGGACGGGGCGGGAAATGAGCCCCTGCTGCAGAACCGCTGCCAAGCCTGCTGCTCCTCACTCACCAGTCAGCCACACAGATCTCAATCTGGGCGCTGTCCAGTAGCTCCTGCCACACACCTTCCATCACCAGGTCCACAAGCTGCCTCTTGGAGCACCATCTGGGAAGGAGAGATGGGCAGGGCAAACAGTCCTGGCATTCAAGGCGCAGTCAGAAACCACCTCCTCCAAGAAGCCTCCCTTGATAACCCTCTCTAAAGCAGCCCTCAGGGTTTGCTCTAGCAGACCTGAAGATCTATGATGGGCTATACATCTCTCCTTGGCCTCTTGGATTCCCTTTGCCATTCTCCACCCTGCTGCGGGCTCCAGGCAGCGGACCTCTATGAAAGCCTGACCTTCATCTATGTGGGACAAGACATGAGTACAAATGAAGGCCACATACTAGACATGTGAGCGGGGAGCTCTGTGGTGGGCCTCCTAAAGTGCGAGGGCCCCGGGTCTAAAGCTGGATGGCCTGGTCTCTGTCACCTATTGTTTCCTGTTGGATCAGCCAATGGGATGCTCCAGTAGGGGATGGAAGTGAAGGAGGTGACTAAAATCAGGGTATATATCCTCTTGGGTCCTTCTCAAGGGACTGCCTTGTCCCCCAAAGAAAAAGCACAGCTCCACAGCACTCTCTTCTCATTTTTCAGTAACTGTTTCCTCCCCTCCCCTCTAGTAATCTAGGGGTGGTAGTGTTCCTTCCCTAACTGTTATTAGCTCAAGGACTCCTGCCAACAACTTTGTAAACAGTCCTTCACCTCAAATTAGAATGTGCCATAATCACATACATTGTGCAGTATTGGTGGAAGGATAGGTAAGTTGACCAACGGAATAGAACAGAGTGCCAGGAACTGGCCGAGCACAGTGGCTTAGGCCTGTAATCCCAGCACTTTTGAGAGTACAAGGCAGGTGGATCACCGGAGGTCAGGAGTTCAAGACCAGCCTGGCCAATATGGTGAAACCTCTTCTCTACAAAAAATACAAAAATTAGGCTGGGTGCGGTGGCTCACGCCTGTAATCCCAGCACTTTGGGAGGCCGAGGCAGGTGGATCATGAGGTCAGGAGATTGAGACCATTCTGGCTAACACGGTGAAACCCTGTCTCTACTAAAAATGCAAAAAATTAGCTGGGCATGGTGGCGGGCGCCTGTAGTCCCAGCTACTTGGGAGGCTGAGGCAGGAGAATGGTGTGAACCTGGGAGGCGGAGCTTGCAATGAGCCGAGATCGCGCCACTGCACTCCAGCCTGGGCGACTGAGCGAGACTCCTCCGTCTCAAAAAAAAAAAAAAAAAAATTAGCCAGGCATGGTGACGCACCCCTGTAGTCCCAGCTACTCGGGAGGCTGAGGAAGGAGAATCACTGAAACCCAGGAGGCAGAGGCTGCAGTGAGTCGAGATTGCACTAGTGCACTCTAGCCTGGGCAACAAAATGAGACTCTGTCTCAAAAAATGAAAACAAAAAATATCAGAGTGCCAGGGATAGACCTAGGTATGCACAGAAACTTCATAAACCGTAGAGATGGCATCATCATTCCATGGAGAACAGATTATTTCTCTCTTTTTTTTCTTTTGAGTCAAGGTCTTATTCTGTCGCCAGGCTGGAGTGCAGTGCCATGATCCTAGCTCACTGCAACCTCGAACTCCTGGGCTCAAGAGATCTTCTTGGCCTCCCAAAGTGCTGGGATTACAGGCATGAGCCACCATGCTCGGCCTTCACTTTCCTACTGTAAAGTGGGGGCAATAATAGTACCTATGTCACAGGGTTGTTGCCAGAATTATATGTAAAGTGTCTAGTACAGAGTAACCCCTTGTGGAGGCAAGAGTGACTCCATCTTGGATGCTAATCTGCCATGTCCGCTCTTTTTTTTTTTTTTTTTTTTGAGACATGAGTCTCACTCTGTTGCCCAGGCTGGAGGGCAGTGGTGTGATCTCGGCTCACTGCAACCTTTGCCTCCTGGGTTCAAGCGATTCTCCCGCCTCAGCCTCCCCAGTAGCTGGGACTACAGGTGCGTGCCACCACGTCCAGCTAATTTTGTCTTTTTAGTAGAGACGGGTCCTCCTGTTGGCCAGGCTGGTCTCGCACTCCTGACCTCAAGTGATCTGCCTGCCTCGGCCTCCCAAAGTGCTGGGATTACAGGCGAGAGCCACCGGGCCCGGCCCAAAACCCTGTCTTTAGATCAAACTGGTCTTGCTGTTGTCTCACAAACTGCAGGCGATGATGCACAGAGCATTACTGCCTGTGGTTGCTAACCTTCCTGATTTTTCCTTGTATCTCTGGCATATAAAACAGTACCCTCAACAAGAATTTGTTGATTGATGGAATGAATCAATGAATAAATGGGGGAAGGAGAGGGTGAAGGTGGCGATGAGAACAGTGTGGGGGGTAGGGTCCCTTTCTCTCTCTGGGGCCCTTGCCCCAGGGATCGGGGCCTCTCACTTGGGCCACTCACTCGAAAGAGGTCACGAAGCAGGTCTGCGAAGGCGCTCCAGGTACCGGTGTTAGGTTCTTTTCTATGGCCCAGCCGTTCCCGCCGTGCTCCACCTCCCAGCCTCTGAAGCCCTCTGTGGGAAAACAAGAGTTGAACATGTGATTTACCTGCCAGCCTGCCCAGCAGAGACCCAGCAACCACCCAGCTTGTGCTGTCCACCAGCCTGTCCCTCTTGTGCTCCAGTCCTCCCTGGTTTCTCCTACCGACTCCTCCTCCCATTATCCTGTATTCCTGGTCCTACCCCAGAACTGCGACTCTCAGCCTTGCCCATCCACTCAGCTTCTCTTCAGTCACCCTTACTTGCTCTTTCTCCTTCAGTCGTGCTCTTCACTGTGTGTGTGTGTGTGTGTGTGTGTGAGAGAGAGAGAGAGAGAGAGAGAGACAGGATCTCACTCTGTCACCCAGGCTGGAGTACAGTGGCTCCATCATGGCTCACTGCAGCCTCTAACTCCTGAGCTCAAGCGATCCTCCCATATCAGCCTCCAGAGTAGCTAGGACCACGGGTGCATGCCACCACACCTGGCTAATTTAATTTTTTAATTTTTTTTTTGAGACGGAGTTTTGATCTTGCTGCCCAGACTGGAGTGCAATGGCATGATCTCAGCTCACTGTAACCTCTGCCTCCCAGGTTCAAGTGATTCTCCTGCCTCAGCCTCCCAGGTAGCTGGGATTACAGGTGTGCATCACCACACCTGGTTAATTTTGTATTTTAGTAGAGATGGGGTTTCGCCATGTTGGTCAGGCTGGTCTCGAACTCCTGACCTCAGGTGATCCGCTGGCCTTGGCCTCCCAAAGTGCTGGGATTACAGGCATGAGGCACTGCGCCTGGCCTAATTTAAAAAATTTTTTTAACCTTTTTTTTTTTTTGAGACGAAGTCTCCCTCTTGTCCCCCAGTCTGGAGTGCAGTGGCGCGATCTCAGCTCACTGCAACCTCTGCCTCCAGGGTTCAAGCAATTCTCCTGCCTCAGCCTCCTCAGTAGCTGGGATTACAGATGCCTGTCACCGTGCCTGGCAAATTTTTGTATATTTAGTACAGGCGGGGTTTCACCATGTTGGCCAGGCTGGTCTCGAACTCCTGACCTCAGGTGATCCACCCGCCTCAGCCTCCCAAAGTGCTGGGATTACGGCATGAACCACCGCGCCCGGCCTAATTTTCAAAATTTTCAGAGACAGTCTCACTTTGTTGTTCAGGCTGGTCTCGAGCTCCTGGCCTCAAGCGATCCTCCCACCATCGCCTCCCAAAATGCTGGGATTACAGGCGTGAGCTACTGCGCCCCACCCTTTTTTTTTGTTTTTTTGTTTTTTGAAGACAAGGTTTCTCTCTGTCATCCAGGCTGTAGTGCAATGGCACGATCATAGCTCACTGCAGCCTCGAACTCCTAGGCTTAAGCGATCCTCCTGCCTTGGCCTCCCAAAGCGTTGCCATTCGGCCTCTGCCCTGTTCTGCACCCCCTCTGCATATCAAACTGCTTGTTTTCTCCCCTGGCCCAGCCAGGGTCTTCCTCCCTTGCCCAGTCTGCTCGTCCCGATTCCTGGCTCCACGGTCTTCAGCCCCGCCCACCGGACCTACAGCCCAGGCACTGCGTCCCTCAGCCCCGCCCCCTGGCTCCTCCAGCGGTCTCGCCCATTGGCTACATCTGTCTCAGACTCTGTCCCGGGTCCGCCCCTGTCTCGCTCACCCCGGCCCCCACCCCCAGCTTCCTGGGCACCACTCCCTGCACCCACGCTCTCCGCAGGAGTTGAAGATGAGGTTGCGGCGGAGGGGCGCGCGCAGACAGTAGCGCGCCAGGGCACACAGCGGGAACTCCTCCTTGTCTTCGTTGCTGGGCAGGCAGCGTTGGGCCACTGCATAGAGTGCGCGGCCCTCGGCGCTGCGGTCGCGGGCCAGCTGCAGCAGCCACACGGTGGGCCCGTCCACTATGTCGCGCCAGGCGCGGCACACTGGGCGGCATCGCGTGACCAAGGCGCGTGGAGGCACGTGGCTCAGAACCTGCACCAGCAGCTCCGGGGGCAGCGCGTCCAGGGCCAGGGACGGGTCCACCGGCAGCCGTCGCCGCGAGAGCCGGGCGCCCATCTCTAGCAGCCGGAGTCCTGCAGGTAGAGAGAGGTCGGTAGGCGGGTCAGCGCAGCCAGGCCACCCCCTCCCTACTTTGCCTCCCAGGGCGCAAGGCCCCTGCAGCTCGAGAAACCCCATTAGGTCCATGGGCAACCAGGGACCCATTCCCCTCTCTGATTCTGGGCCTCTCCTCATCTTTCCCCCTTGGGCAAAAGACTCTGACCCCCGTCAGGACCGCTGATCACGGCTTCCGTCTGGCGTTTACTGTGTCAGGCTAAGCGCTTCACGTATATGACAAGTGAAACGGCAAAATAACTAACATAACTAACCCCATTTTTGTTTAAGGGGACTTTACCCATTCCTGCACATAGGCTAGGATAATTTTAGAGCGCTGAGATAATATGCAAAAACAGCAATCATGTAGTTTTTAAAACTAACTCTGGGATTAAAGAAGTATGTAAACAACTATGTTTTGTCAAAGATTTATAGGAGCACTGTGACCCAACCAAGGACAAAGAAGTCACCAACCTCCTCAGACCCTAGCTGGCACCCAGATGTCTGCAGTGGTCACCTCCTTATTTTATTATTATTACTTTTTTATGGAGCTAGAAACCAGGACTACAGCCTGTACCTCCTGGGCTTGAGTGATCCTCCTGCCTCAGCCTCCCAAGTAGCTGGGCCTATAGGTACACGCCACTATGCCCAGCTAGTTTTTTATTTTATATATATTTTTGTAGAAATGGGGTCTCACTGCATTGCCCTGGCTGGTCTTGAACTCCTGGGCTCAAGTGATCCTCCTGCCTCAGCCTCCCAAAGTGCTGGGATTGGTATGAGCCACTGCGCCTGGCCTGTTGGTCACCTCTTAATCACAATGCTCTTCTCTTCCCTCTGCCCTTAAAAAAAAAAAAAAATTGTCCTGATTTAAGATGGTACTTTAGGATGATAGTCCACTGTGTTCTCGGTTTGCTGGCTCTCCAAATAAACTTGCTTTTCCTCCCACCAGCTGTCGTCTCTCTTGAGTTTGGGTTTTTTTTTTTTTGAGGCAGAGTCTCACTCTGTCACCCAGGCTGGAGTGCAGTGGCCTGTCTCGGCTCACTGCAACCTCTGTCTCCCAGGTTCAAGTGGTTCTCCTGCCTCAGCCTCCCGAGTAGCTGAGACTACAGGAATGCGCTACCACACCTGGCTAATTTTTGTATCTTTAGGAGAGACAGAGTTTCACCATGTTGGCCAGGCTGGTCTCGAACTCTGGACCTCAGGTGATCCACCCACCTCGGCCTCCCAAAGTGCTGGGATTGTAGGCGTGAGCCACCGCGCTCGGCCTGAGCTTGGCTTTCTTTTCTTTTCTTTTTTTTTGAGACAGAGTCTTGCTCTGTCGCCCAGGCTGGATGCAGTGGCACGATCTCGGCTCACTGCAAGCTCCGCCTCCCGGGTTCACGCCATTCTCCTGCCTCAGCCTCCTGAGTAGCTGGGACTACAGGTGCCCACCACCGCGCCCAGCTAATTTTTTGTATTTTTAGCGGAGACAGGGTTTCACCGTGGTCTCGATCTCCTGATCTTGTGATCGCCTGCCTTGGCCTCCCAAAGTGCTGGGATTACAGGCGTGAGGCACCACGCCCGGCCGGCTTTCTTTTCTAAAACTGAGTCTTACTCTATTGCCCAGGCTGGAGTGCAGTGGCACAATCTCGGCTTACTGCGACCTCTGCCTCCCGGTTCAAGCGATTCTCCTGCCTCAGCCTCCCAAGTAGCTGGAATTACAGGTGTGTGCCACCACACCAAGCCAGTAATTTCTGTATAGAGATGGGGTTTCACCATGTTGGCCGGCTGGTCTCGAACCCCTGACCTCAAGTGATCCACTTGTCTCAGCCTCCCAAAATGCTGGGATTTCAGGCATGAGCCACCATGCCTGGCCTGAGTTTGGCTTTCGAGTGTCAAGCCGCCAAACCTGGGTTGGGTTACAGACCCACAAGGAAACCCACTGTGGAAGAAACCATTTCCACCCCATACCCCAATGTGTTCCAACTACTGTAACCTTTAGAACCCATGACCCATCTTCAGCAAAATCTCTTCTTGCCTCAGTTACTTCTCTGAACATTCCTACTACCTTCTTGCTCTAACTGGAACCCAGTTCTTTGTGGGCCTTCCAAGTGGGGAGGTCTCTGTGCTCCTGGGAGCTGCTGCCTGACCATTCTCCCTCCACCCTCCCCAAAACTCCCAGCGACGAATCTCATCACTACCCTGCCTCGTGCGTCATCTGCTGACCCAGATCATGACTCCTGTCTTCTCCGTAATTTTAGCTCTGGGCTCACGGCCGCTCCCGCTGCTCTTAGCATCATTCTCAGTGATTTCCATAACCAGATAGATAGTTCTTCCGCAGCCCCAACCTTTCTGTTCCCTGACCTCCCTCTAGTGGCTTTATCCTTCCCCAGCCTCTCCCTCTCATGGTCACACCCAAGCCTTGTTCAATAACAGCAGCCTCTTCAGAACCTCAATTTCACACACTCACTCTCCACCCATCACTTTCTCTTTCCACCTCATTCCCTCCAGTGCCCAACTCGCACGATCCTTCCAACCCACTGTGATCTCCCATCCTTTGTCCCTTTCATTTTTCACTCCCCCTCACCTCCCATGCCCTCATTTCTTCCCTAGCCAGCTTAAATTCCATGGTTAATCATTAAAAACATTCTTGATCTGGCATGCTGGCTCATGCCTGTAATCCCAGCACTTTGGGAGGGCAAGGTGGGAGGACTGCTTGAGGCCAGGAGTTTGAGATCAGCCTGGGCAACACAGCGAGACTCCATCTGCACAAAAAATTAAAAAAATTAGCCAGGTGTGGTGGTGCACACCTGTAGTCCCAGCTACAGTCCAGAGGTTAAGGTGGGACAATCGCTTGAGCCCAGGAGTTGGAGGCTGCAGTGAGCTATGATTGTGCTGCTGTACTCCAGCCTGGGCAACAAAGTGAGACCCTGTCTCTAAATAAAATAAAATGAAAAGAATAGCAAAAAAAGTGGGGCTGTTGCTAGAAGGGGAGGTGAGGTCAAGAGAGGGTTTGGGCTGGGCGAGGTGGCTCACACCTGTAATCCCAGTACTTTGGGAGTCCAAGGTGGGCAGATCACTTGAGGTCAAGAGTTTGAGACCAGCCTGGCTAACATGGTGAAACCCCATCTCTACTAAAAATACAAACATTAGCTGGGTGTGGTGGCAGGCACCTGTAATCCCAGCTACTCGGGAGGCTGAGGCAGGAGAACTGCTTGAACCCAGGAGGTAGAGGTTGCAGTGAGCTGAGATCGCGCCATTGCACTCCAGCCTGGGTAGCAGAGTGAGACCCTGTCTCAAAACAAAACAAAACAAAACCAAAAACAAAAACAAACAAGCAAAAAAAAAAAAAGAGAGAGGGTTTGTTTTGAGATGGGAGACAGGGTGCTGTGTGGGCTGACAGGAGATCCAGTGCATTGGGGGAAACTGAATGAGCAGCAGAGAGAGGTGAGAACCAGGGACTGTGGCTGGAAGTGGGTGGGAAGGTGGGAGCAGGTGATGGGACAGTCATAGCAGGAAAACGGGTGTGGGCATGGGTGCAGGTAGGTGGTAGAGGCAGGGGCGGCTGTGGAAGTTCACTTTTCATCTCTTGCATTTTCTCTGCAAAATAAGAAGCCAAGGGAGAGTGAAGCGGGGGGGAGGAGGTGTTGGAAAGGATTAGGGGAGAAGGGAAAAGGTGTGAATTAGTTGTCTAGAAGAGAGGAGGAAGGAGGGGATCAGAGAAATGTCATATGGCTGCCAGGCAGCATTGGAGTCTGCCTGAGGGTCCAGTTCACAGACTTGAAGTTAGCCTGGCCAGGGGGCTGTGTTGTATTTTTAGCCCACTTGAGCTGTGTGGGCGCAGGCACGGTGGAGAGGAAGGCTGGATTTAACCGGGGTCTCACGCGGGAAGAAGCCAAAGGGGGCAAGGGTGTGTGCAGAGAATGTGTTCTTTTTTATTTATTTAGTTTTTTGAGACGGAATCTCGCTCTGTCACCCAGGCTGGAGTGCAGTGGCGCGATCTCAGCTCACTGCAACCTTTACCTCCTGGGTTCAAGCGATTCTTCTGCCTTAGCCTCCCAAGTAGCTGGGATTATAGGCGCCTGCCACCACGCCTGGCTAATTTTTGTATTTTTAGTAGAGACGGGGTTTCACCATGGTGGCCAGCCTGGTCTCGAATTCCTGACCTCAGGTAATCCACCCGCCTCAGCCTCCCAAAGTGCTAGGATTACAGGTGTGAGCCACTACGCCGGGCTGAGAATGTGTTTTTTTGTTTTGTTTTGTTTTGAGACAGAGTTTCACTCTTGTTGCCCAGGCTGGAGTGCAATGGCATGATCTCGGCTCACTGCAACCTCCACCTTCCGGGTTTAAGCAATTCTCCTGCCTCAGCCTCCCGAGTTCCTGGGATTACAGGCACCCACCACCACATCTGGCTAATTTTTATATTTTTAGTAGAGACGTCACCATGTTGGACAGGTGGTTCTCAAACTCCTGACCTCAGGTGATCCGCCCAACTCAGCCTCCCAAGGTGCTGGGATTACAGGCGTGAGCCACTGCGCCTGGCCTGAGAATGTGTTTTTTATTTTTTGAGACAGCACTTGCTTCTTCACTCAGGTAGGAGTGCAGTGGTGTGATCACGGCTCACTGCAGACTTGACCTCCCAGGCTCAAGTGATCCTCCCACCTCAGCCTCCCAAACTGCTGGGATTAGAGGCATGAGTCACCGCATCCAGCGTCTTTGTTTCTCTTTGTGGCAAAACTTCTCAAAAAAGCAACCTACCCAGTATTTTCTGCTTCCATTCTTCCTAAAACCTTTTCTTTTTTTTTTCTTATTTTTTTGAGACAGAGTCTCCCTCTGTCACCCAGACTGGAGTGCAGTGGCACAGTCTCAGCTCACTACAACCTCCGGCTCCGAGGTTCAAGTGATTCTTGTGCCTCAGTCTCCCGATTAGCTGGGACTACAGGTGCATGCCACCAGGCCTTGCTAATTTTTGTGTTGTTAGTAGAGACAGGGTTTCACCATG